GCCATGTTGGCTAGGCTGGGTTTCGAACTTCCTGACCTTCAAGTTGATCCCTCCTGTCCTCGGCTCCCAAAAATTGTTGGTGTGAGAGAGAGAGAGAGAGACACAGAGAGAGATGGGGTCTCTCTCTGTCACCCAAGCTGGAGTGCAGTGGCATGACCAGGGCTCACCTCAGCCTCAACTTCCCAGGCTCAAGCGATCCTCCCACCTCAGCCTCCTAGCTAGCTGGAACTACAGGTGCAGCTAATTTTTAAAAATATCTTGTGGAGACAGAGTCTCACTATGTTGCCTAGGCTGGTCTTGGACTCCTGGGCTCAAATGATCCTCCTGTTCAGGCTCCCAAAGTGCTGGGATTACAGGTATAAGCCATCAGGCTTGGCCTACTAGTTGTTTTTATTTATTTTATGTTTTTTAAGAAAGAAATAGGGCTAAGAGAGGGCTCTGCCCTTATAGCCTCATAGCTCTGTTCACTGATTTGGAAAAATCCTGGTACCCAAGGATTAAATAATCCCCAAAAGGTCTGAGGAGGCTTTGTGCCCCCAAATGCTCATGAGAGAAGAATCTGTCGGTTGATGAGTTCAGGAGTCAGAGGCTAGATGAGTGAAAAGGCTTCAGCTATGACGCTACCTGACACCTTCTGCCCCTACCACATAACTGAGAACTCCCTCTCCAAGGCAAGGATGGGTTTGCAGGACAAATGGACACGTAGGTCATCGGCTCTAAGATACGGTGGAGGAAGGCATCTTACGTGCAAGGCGGCTGTGTACACTCCTAAACCCCCTGCTCACCCGGACATCTTGTTCTGCCAGATTATAGTCAATGATTCCAGAGTAGCTGTCACGGCCCCCCTAGGAGGAGAAACTGTTCTTAGAGGGCTCTTCGAAGGGCACCTTTTTATCTCCAGACCAACAAGCAAAGCCTGGTCTCCCCTAAAGTCCTCTCTTGTCCATTATAGGACAGCAATGCTCCCTGCTCCAGTGTGTCACCTTGCCTGGTGAATGTGACTCCCTTCCTTGCAGGTCAGTCCTCCTCACCTTGACCAGGGCCAGGAGCAGGTCCTGCAAGATGCCATTGGTCTCAGACGTGATGTCATCCACAGCCTCCACCTGGAAATCTGGGGTGGGGTGAGGAGCTCTCTGAATCTTCCTGAGTTTCCCTAGTGTAGGTATCCCCAGGACCTGCCAAATGCCTGACCCGCTATGCCCTGCTAGCCCTGCTAGCCCCTGCTTGGAGTAGCTTGATGGCTGCTAGCTCCCAGGATGTAAGGCACAAGTACCATCACGGCCACTCTAAAAACATCTCTAAGTTGTGAGGCGTGCGGTGGCTTCATCACCAAGCACCAACCTGCTGGGTAGGACGCAATCATTATCAGAGTTGGGGCCAGGCAGTGAAGAAGAGCTAGGGAAACCTGTATTATAACACAAGATGGCTAGGACCTGGCACCCTTGTTGGAGGTAAGGAAAAATGATATGAGAGGTGGGCTATGAGGAAGGAAAAGAGCAGGAAAGGGAGAAATGGAAGGAGACGAGAGAAACGGATGCAAGAAGGAAGGAAGGTAGGAGAGGGATTAAGAACATAGGCCACAGCCGGGGCGGTGGCTCATGCCTGTAATCCCAGCACTTTCAGAGGCTGAGGCAGGAGATGGCTTAAGCCCAGAAGTTCGAGACCAGCCTCGACAACACAACGAAACCCCATCTATACAAAAAATACAAAAATTAGCTGGGCATGGTGGTGGCACCCCTGTAGTCCCAGCTACTTAGGAGGCTGAGGTGGAAGGATTGATTGAGCCCAGGAAGGTCAAGGCTGCAGTGAGCCATGATCACATCACTGTACAGCCTAGGCTATAGGGCAAGACCTTGTCTCAAAAGAAGAACAAAGGCCGAGATTAGACATCAAAGGAAAATTGGGGAAAGCAAGAAAAAGCGGTGGGAGTAGGGGAAGGGGTGGTAAGATGAGGATGGGAAAAAGCCACAAATTAGTGGGTGAGACATTTGTAGCCAAGCAAGGCCAGCCATCAGGGGCATGAAAGGTGACACCCATGACTCAGAGGGCAGGTTCCCACCTTTCCCTCAGGCTGCAGCACGGCTGGGTTCAGCTTGGAATGTGGTGTGATGGCAGGGACCGGCAAGGGGCTGGGAAGGTGACACGAGTACCTTTGGGACTGTCACTTTGGAATCTGCCTTGGAGCTCCAGATTAAGATGGTTAATCATTACTTCTCTCTCTTTGTGTGTGTGTGTGCATGTGTGTGTGAGAGAGAGAGAGAGAGAGAGAGAGAGACAGAGAGAGAGAGAGATATGCTCTCACTCCTGTCACCCAGGCTGGCGTGCAGTGCCAGTAGCATGATCTCAGCTCACTGCAGCCTCAACTTTCCAAGCTCGGGTGATCCTCCCACCTCAACCTCCTGAGTAGCTGGGACCACAGGTGTGCACCACCGTGACCAGCTAGTTTTTTTGAATTTTTAGCACAGATGGGGTTTTCCTATGTTGCCTGTGACTGGTCTTGAACTCCTGGGCTCAAGCGACAAACCCACCTCCGCTGCCCAAAGTGTTGGGATGATAGGCATGGATCACCACGCCTGGCCTGCTTCTCTTTTTTTAATGATCACATCTGGCTCTCTCCCCTGCGGAGACTGAGGCACTGGTGGGGGAAAGAGGAAAGACCCCAAGGGAATAGAACTTAGGCAGCCAGGTTGCCAGATAGCTCACCTATGGGGAGTACAGGAGAGGAGCGGACTGTCCTACAGCCCCTTCTCCGGCACCTGGGACCCCTCCCTCCATATTCTTACCGTGTTTGTAGACTGCCAGGCACTCCTGCAGCCGGGGTGGGGTTCGAGTGGCAAGAATTTCAATGGCCACATCCACCGCAGAATCTGAGGCCTACAAGAAATTGGGAGTCTACTCTCAGACTGGACATGTCATTAGGATGGCAGACAGTGGCAGACATTGGCTGCTTCTCCTTCTAAGGAACAATATGGGACGACGAGAGGGGGACTCCCATCTTGCAAAAGCAAGGCTGACAGCCTTCTCCCTTCCCCAGAGACCCCAGCAAGTCTGCCCTCCTGCTACCTTCAGGGCTGTCCTCAATTCCTGGGCGTCAAACCGGGCTGCGGGCTGCAGCAGAGCCATCACGATCCTCTCCAGGTTGCCGGAAAGGGCTGCCCGTAGGGACTTCAGCAGGTCCTACAAGAAATGGTCCCCACAGCAGAGGCACGGGGGTGAGGGGAAGGGCTCCAGAAGCATGGGGAGGTTTGGGAAGATTTGGCTGGTTTTCATCTCAGGCCCTGTTTAGCCAGGAAGCAGGGGCTGGCCTCAGTGGCTGTTGCTGTCTCTCGAATCCTCCAGGGGGCTTCTCATCCCAGTCCACTGCTGTGGGAGGTCAGCGTGGCCTTACCTGTTGGGTGCGCTCCTGGAAGGCACGTGAGATGAGCTGCCTTTGCTCTCTGCTCCGGTTGGTCAGCACATCCACAATGGCACTGCGGTCCACGCCTGAACCGAGATGAGGGCTGTGCTGTGAGCAGGGTCTTTACATAGTGGGATGCCCCTACTCCAGGAGAGGGCTAGGAAGGAAAGGAGCAGGGGCTCTATCACCCCCAGTTCCATTTTATCTCAAAAGAAGTTGCAAATAAATTGTCAAAACAGCATGCAAATCCGACCCAGACCAAGGCAAAGGTGGCCTGGTGTGGTGGTAAAAAAAATAGGATTTGCAGGGATCGGCTGACCTAGATGAGAATACCACCTCTGTCATTATGAGCTGAGTGACTTTGGGCAAGCCTCTTAATCTCCCTGAGCCCCAGTTTCCTCATCTGGAAAATGGAAATAATAAGCCTTGCCTCACAGGGGTGTTGTGAGAACGGGTTTGACACACCTACTGTGGTGCCTGACATACAAGAATGAAGGCGTTCCACAAACGTTTCTCCAACATCACTAGTTCCTCCTTCCTGGCTCCTCCTTGGTCTACATATTGGCTCTAAAAGGCAGCCTCAAGTGCAGGGGGAAAGGGGCTCACCTTGGCCAGTAATGGCCCTCAGTAGCCTCTGCGCATCCTTGTCCACGCTGAAGTTCAGGAAGGTCCTGAGGGTGCCCAGGGTCCCCCACGCTGCAGTCTGTGGGAGCACGAGGTGGTCGGCAAGGGCCACGGCCAGGCTGCCTACCCCACCTCAGCATAACCTCAGGGCCTGTCCTCCACTTTCCTGCCTCCCATCCTCTCACAGCCCGAGCTGAGATATTAAAAGTGATCTCTGAAATCCCAACAGCCCCTACCTTGCTGGCCAGGCCCAGGTGGCTGAGGATCTCCTGGGTGAGGGACGGTCCCATCTTCCCACCACTCGCAGACATGGTGCTACTGCTGGCTGCCCTGGGGAAGGAAACAGGAGCCCATAGAGCTGAATTTCCTGGCCCTCCAGGGACTCCTTATGACCCCCCAAGACCCTGGAGCCTGGGTTCCAGTCGCCTGTTCCTATCCTTGCTGCAGAAAAAAAGATCAACCTGCTTAGGGTTGGAGCCAGAACTGGAGCTGAAATGGTGAGGTAAGAGGGGAGCCCCCACCTTCCCCGCCTCTCCCCACTCCTTTAGGAAGTGGGGATTGATGCGGGACGCTCCTGGACCAGGCGCCAACCCTCCCTGATGCCAGGGTCAGCCCCGAGGCTCCTCAGGCCTTGGTCCGGGGTAGATGCCCCCCTTCTGAGGTCTACGGCCCTCCTTCCGGGGCCTGGCTGGGATCTCCTGGGGCAGTGCAGGGGAGCTGAGGTGAGGTGGCAGGATTAAGCACGCAGAGTGGGAGACAACTCCAAACAGCATCTCCCCCACCTGCAGCCCCAACTAACAAGCAACCCTCAATCCCTCAATTCCCGCCTATACAGCTGCCTACCTGCTCGGCTGGGCTGCCTCTCACCCTAGGAGCCACAGGTGGGAATCTCTAGGTCAGCAGGTGCAATCTCTTAGCTGATGTGAGCAAGGGTTCTCGCAAGTACATGGATGCCTGGACAGGAGAGGAGGCACTCTCATGTTGGAAAAGGAAAACTCATTTCTCCCTCCCCCAAGCAATTAACAAGTTCTCCCGGCATGGGGCCGAAGGCCCAGTACTTACTCAGAGGTGCAGAGGTGGGGTGGGTGTCGTCCTTGTGGCCTGGTAGCTCGCCTGTGTGAGCACCGGCTCTGGTGTGGCCTGGTAGAGGAAAGGGGGCGGGGATGCAGCCTAGGCTGAACAGCCAGTCAGATGACCTCTCTTAGGGACCAACCCAGCAGTTGTCTGACTCTGGCCCCTCCCAGACTTGGGAGAGGACCGGGCTGTACAGAGTCCCACATGCAGACACCTTCCTGCCCAGCATCTCTTCTCCCAGGAACTGGGCCTCAACCCATGTGAGTGAACTCCACTCAGCCTCTCAGCGGCCCAGCCTCAAACACAGGAGGCTTTATGCACTGCCTCCCCTGTGGGTCCAGGTGGGACCACAGAGGCCTAGTCTCAAAGTCCAGCTTCTGACCTGGCTCTGCCTCTGGCTCCAGCTCCCTGGGGGGCAGGTCAGACAGGCTGCAGGCTGATTTCAAGGCTGATAGGGAAAAACCTGTTGGGGCACATACCAGCAGGGCACCCCAGCCAGCACCCCAGAGGGGGTCCCAGCCCAGAAACTCCCTTGATTGCTGCTTTATTAGAGCCAGCTGGCCTAGGTGGAGAGTGCCCAGGGACTGTTTATATCTGTGGAGAAGGAAGGGCACAAGTATTTGGGGGTGGAAGCTGATGAAGAGTCAAGAGAGAAAAATGCAAAGGGTGTTACCTTCAGAGGGAAGCTCTATGCTCCCAAAAGGCAACAGAGAGATTGGGGGGGCTCCCTTGCCTGGTTTCTTAGACTCCTTCTGTTGCCTTTTGGCAGCCTGGGCCCCGTGGCTGTTTTAACTGCAGGTGATGCAACCCAGCAGCTGGGCTTGAGGCTGTCCCTGCATAGAGCAGCAGGTGAGCAGCCCTGCGGAGCCCCCGCCCCCCCCCCACCATGCAGCAGCTGCTCCAGCCTCACAGCTGGGTCCCTCGGGTCTAAATACAGCCTCTTTCCTGCCTCCCCCAGAGCCTGGGTAGGGGCAGGGCACTGAAGCTAGAGCCCTGCCTCCACTCCTCTGCCTCTCTCCCAACCCAGGAAGGCCTTCACTGGGATTCCTACATCCCCGGAGGAGGGACCTGCAGTGGCTCCACCACCCTGACGAGATCAGGCTGGAGGACACGGCATGAAGGGATATTTCTGTGGTGGTAATCACTGCTCCTCACTTTTCTCTCCTGTTAAAGTGGAAAACATGCACCTGTGTCAGAACTGGAGCATGAGGGTTCAATACCCGGCTCTGCCACCTACGTTCTGTGAGCTTCGCTAGTCCTTTCAGCTCTCTAAATGGGAGGATTGCGAGAGACGGAGGCTGTGGGACATGCTGGGGCCTCCGAGAACAGTTTTCCTGGGATAATTACATGACGTAATGTGTCCACTAAAGAACTTAAACATGTAACCAAACACCACCTCGTCCCCAAAAACTATTGAACTAATAAAAGTAAATAAATAAATAAATAATGTAATGTGGCCGGGCAATGGTGGCTCACGCCTGTAATCCCAGCACTTTGGGAGGCCGAGGCAGGTGGATCACGAGGTCAGGAGATTGAGACCAGCCTGGCTAACAAAGTGAAACCCCCTCTTTACTAAAAATACAAAAAATTAGCCAGGCATGGTGGCGCGAACCTGTAATCCCAGCTACTCGGGAGGCTGAGGCAGGAGAATCGCTTGAACCTGTGAGGTGGAGTTTGCAGTGAGCTGAGATGGCACCACTGCATTCCAGCCTGGGCGACAGAGCGAGACTCCATCTAAAAAAAAAAAAAGTAATCTGTGTAATTGCATGTGGCAGAGAAAAGTGCCCTTGTAAAGTAGGGGTGTTAGATTAAATAAATAAAAATACAGGACATGCAGCTTAATTAGAATTTCACATAAATGAGGAATCATTTGTCGGTACAAGTATGACCCAAATATTTCATTAAATATACTAACATTTTGGTTTTTTGAGGCAGAGTCTCTCTCTGTTGCCCAGGCTGGAGTGCAGTGGCATGATCTTGGCTCACTACAACGTCTGCCTCTCGGGTTCAAGCAATTCTCCTGCCTCCACCTCCTGAGTAGCTGGGATTATAGGCGCCTGCCATCATGCCTGGCTAATTTTTTGTATTTTTAGTAGAGATAGGGTTTCACCATGTTGGCCAGGCTGGTCTCGAACTCCCGACCTCGTGATCCACCCGCTTTGGCCTCCCCAAGTGCTGGGATTACAGGCGTGAGCCACAGCCTGTAATTATTATTTTTTGTTTATCTGAAATTATAGTTTTAACAGTGTGTCCTGTATTTCACCTGACAACCCCAAAATGGAACTCAGTCTCAGCATGGTGGCTAAAAGCAAAGCTTCTGGAGCCAGACTTCTTAGAGTTGGGATTCTGGTCTTCTGTGTGACCTTGGGCAACTATTCTGTGCTCAGTTTCCTAATCATCAACACACACATAACAGTGTTTATGTTATAGGTTGTTGTGAGAATTAAATAAATACAGTGCATACAAAGTACTTAGAAGAGTTCTGGGCACAGCGCTGTTAAGTAGACATGTCACAATGTTATCTAATATATAACAATATGTATTGTTATATGGTAACTGTTACTGTTATTATTACTTACCTCCCCAAGAATTCCGATCTTGGCTCGCTTCCGAAACTTTTCTTGCCAATCCCCAAAATGGCCACAAGAGGGCGCCAGCAGCCACTGAGCGTCTCGAGTCCCCTAGTGGCCCCTTGAGGTCTCTGGCTCCAGCCTAACATATCAAGGGGCTGTCTTAGCCCACTTGGGAAGTGCAGCCTCCGGAGGACGCCAGGTTCCTGGGTGGACTTGGTAGGCAGGTACCATCAGGGGAAGAGCCTCAGGTAGATACCTACTCAGGGGTGCCGCCGAGGCTGACCTCGGACGCATGCAGGAGACTGGGTGACCGCAGTTAGGCTGGGTAAACATGGTACTGCAGCTCCGCAGCTGGGGTCCCCCTGGCCATCGGCTTTCTGTACACTTCAGAGTTTCTTCTGGCTACCTGCCCAGCAGACTTAGAGGGAACTGAAGGAATCGTGAGGCCTCCTGTTTCCTCACGCCAAACCTCTCCAAGGGGCTCCTGGCCAGCCTGCCAGGTTGAACTCTGAATATGAAGGCCAACAGAGGCTCAGTCACATGGCAGAAGCGAAGTCCTTGCCTGTGAGGAGTGTGTGTGTGATGCGTTCACAATCACTGCGCTGAAACCTGCTGCAATCTCATTCCTCTCCCTAGGTTTTGTTTTGTTCAACTTCAGGGCCGGACTGCAGTTGTTTACAGATGTACTGATCACCTTCCATCCCCATGTTGTACATTTTAGAATTGCAGAGTTGGAGAAAATCTTAGAGAGGATCTTATCTACCACCTTTTCTTTTCTTTTTCTTTTCTTTTTTTTTTTTTGAGGCGGAGTCTCACTCTGTGGCCCAGGCTGGAGTGTAGTGGTGTGATCTCGGCTCATTGCAACCTCCAACTCCCTGGTTCAAGCAATTCTCCTGCCTCAGCCTCCCGAGTAGCTGGGATTACAGGCATGCACCACCATGCCCAGATAATTTTTGTATTTTTAATAGAGATGGGGTTTCACTATGTTGGCCAGGCTGGTCCCAAATTCCTGACCTCAGGTGATCCACCCACCTTGGCCTCCCAAAGCGCTGGGATTATAGGCATGAGCCCTGTACCCAGCCTTTTATTTATTTATTTTTGAGATGGAGTCTTGCTCTGCTACTCAGGCTGGAGGGCAGTGGCATGATCTCAGGTCACTGCAACAAACCTCCCCCTCCTAGGTTCAAGCAATTCTCCTGCCTCAGCCTCCCAAGTAGCTGGGACTACAGACAGGCATGTGCCACTATGCCTAGCTAAATTTTGCATTTTTAGTAGAGATGAGGTTTCACCATGTTGGGCAGGCTGGTCTTGAACTCCTGACTCCAGGTGATCCACCCACCTCGGCCTCCCAAAGTGTTGGGATTACAGGCGTGAGCCACCGGGCCTGGTCCCTACATTGCTTTTCTGCAAATACTTTCCATTGCCTGATTTCAGAATACATAGAAACTCCTCTTGGCTATTTTACCTCTTGTTAGGCAATGTTTCCTCCCCGAAACTCCTGGCCCCTGAATCTCCATTAGGTACTAGCTAGGGTCTGCTTCTTACTCAAATAGGCTTCAGTGTTTACAGTTCCACCTGACCTGAAAAAACCCACCTTCCACATTTGGGATCCATGTATGCTTGCCTATCCACAAAGCCAGGCCAGATATCTAAACTATGGGCTGAAGGCCTGGAGATGGCCTGTCCCCTCCTTGGGACACCTCAGCAGCCCATACAGAGGAAGTGAGTCACTGCAAGGCAGGCGGCACTTGGGGCACTGTGGGCGTGGCCATGCCAGCCTGCGTGCTGGGGGATGGGTTGGAAGGGTGGTGATCACAGTCTCCGGTCCAGCCAAGGCAAGCGTTGTGTGTGCTCCTCAAGCATGTTGACAGAGCTGGTCGCATCATCCCAGTGCTGGCTGAGGCCCAGTTTCCCCTTCTCCATCCACCTTCTCCTTTGTCTCCTGGGGGAGGAATATACCCTCTTATCTTTATTTCTCAGGCCCTGGTTATCCAACTTCGGCCCCAGAACTTCCCCTCCCCACTGCTATCTTAAAAAAAAAAAAAAAAAAAAAGTTAACCAGTCTTCAGTTCTCCTGAGGAAGCATTTAAAAAGTCTGGTGGGGACTACAGGAAATCTTGGCACTTAGGAAAACCGCAAGAGAGGGATTCAGAACTAAAAGAAGGAAGATGAGTAGGACGGAGGTGTGGAGAGTGTTAGAGAGAGACCAGAAGGTGAGCTGCGGCCCAAAGAGCCCTGGAACTGTGCTGGAAAAAAGGTGTGTAGGTAGCAGATAAGGATTCTGGGGAGAGCACTGAAGAAAGGAAGAGGGAACTTTGGAATTAGAAGAATGAAAGGAGGAGAGTTCCAATGGGGTAGAAAGAGACAATTGGGATGCAAGGTGGCTCACGCCTGTAATCCCAGCACTTTGAAAGGCCAAGGAGGGTGGATGGCTTGAGCTCAGGAGTTCACGACTAGCGTGAGTGACATGGTGAAATCTCGTGTCTCTACCAAAAATACAAAAACTAGCCGGGCGTGGTGGTGCCGCCTGTGGTCCCTGCTACTTGGGAGGCTGAGGTGGAGGACAGCTTGAGCCTGGAAGGTCGAGGCTGCAGTGACAGAGTGAGACCTCATCTCCAAAGGGAAAGAAAGGAAAGAAAGATACAATGGAAGATATGCTAATAAGAGAGGGAGGAGAAAACGTGGCTGGAGGGGTTGCTGGAAACTGGGAAATCAGGCAGGCCCCGGGGCTTAGAAAAGCCTGGAGAAGGCCGGGCGCGGTGGCTCACGCCAGTAATCCCAGCACTTTGGGAGGCCGAGGCGGGCAGATCACAAGGTCAGGAGAACGAGACCACGGTGAAACCCCGTCTCTACTAAAAATACAAAAAATTAGCCGGGCGCGGTGGCCGGCGCCTGTAGTCCCAGCTACTCAGGAGGCTGAGGCAGGAGAATGGCGTGAACCCGGGAGGTGGAGCTTGAAGTGAGCCGAGATCGCGCCACTGTTCTCCAACCTGGCGACGGAGCGAGACTCCGTCTCAAAAAAAAAAAAAAAAAAAAAGCCTGGAGAAGCCCCCGGAGCTGGTTAGGGGCCACCACTCCCATTTTTCCCATGGTGTGCCTGGGCTGCGCATCCCCGTGAAAAGAGAGGCAGAACAAGCGGGTCGGACAGCCTCCTTACCCTACAGAAAGGGCCTGAGATGAGGGATGGGCCCTCCAACAGGATTAGTGGGGGTTGCACTCCTTCCTACCAGGACCTGACCAGATAAACGGGAAACAAGCTAGTGTCAGAGGCTCTGATGGCGACAGCGTAAAAAAGGCAACACTTCATCTAGGTTAGAAATTTGACAAAAGTACCTCTCCATGGAGTAAGCTGCAGATCTCCCTGTATAGGAGCCCTCAAATACATCTTAGTCATCATTCGTTCCCGTTAGGAGTTAAGACCAGCTTTCTAGGAAAAACATGTTGCATCTTCCAACAGTAATTACTTCCGAAACAGTAATTTTACCACACAACTCAAGGGGAAAACTTTTTTTTTTTTTTTTTAATTTATAAAGGAGATGGGGGTCTCACTATATTAATCAGGCTGGTCTTGAACTCCTGACCTCAAGTGATCTGCCTGCTTCGGCCTCCCCAGGTGCTGGGATTACAGGCATGAGCCACCGCGCCAGGCCAAGGGGAGAACACATTTTTTTTTTTTTTTTTTTTTTCCTGAGACGGAGTCTCGCTCTGTCGCCCAGGCTGGAGTGCAGCAGCGAGATCTCGGCGCACTGCAAACTCCACCTCCAGGGTTCAAGCGATTCTCATGCCTCAGCCTCCCGAGTAACTGGGATTACAAGAGCGTGCCACCGTGCCCAGCTAAGTTTTGTATTTTTAGTAGAGACGGGGTTTCACCATGTTGGCCAGGCTGGTCTCGAACGCCTGACCTCAGATGATCTGCCCGCCTCAGCCCCCCAAAGTGCTGGGATCACAGGCGTGAGCCACCACACCCGTCCGGGAAACACTTTTTAACACGAAATCGAATACGGATAAAGGTAGTGTCATTTGAAAACTCAAATACATTTTACAAAACAAAAGTTGGGGTGGCTCTTTGAGACAGGGCCCTCGGGTGTGCGCACATTCGGGTTTGCTCTTCCTTGCCACCGGAGTGGGTCCCGTAGCACCTGGGTGGAAAGTCCGCAGCTTTTACGGCGGGGTAGGCGAGGGTCGCCCGAGGGGTCGCAGGCTCTGACTGGGTCTGGAGGCTCGGCTGCTTGGGTCTGCCCTGGAGAGGTTTTCAGCTTCGGCGCGAGGCACTTGGGCAGGACCCCCAGGCTGCGCCCTCCTCCGCCCGCGCCCCATGGGGCTGGAAGTGGGAATGTGCCCACTCCGGCGGGGACCCGGGGCCGCACAGCAGTTGGGGGTGGGTGGGGGTGGGTGGGGGTGGGTAGAAGTGAGGGGGCAGGGACGCCGCCGCTCGGAGCCCGGGACCCCGCGGCATCCAGTGCGTCTGTGTAGGTCCCGGTGGGAGACCTCCCACCCCGAAAACAGACCGAAGCGGCCGGAGGAGCCCGCACCCGCCTCCCCACGTCGGGGGCTTCTCTAGCGCACGGTGACGGGCGTGGGCGTGGCTGCGGGCCCAGGAGCGGAGGGCTGGGGTCCCGGCTCCCGCGCCGGGGCGGAGGGGCAGCCGCAGCGCAACGGCCCGCCCCGCCCTCGCCTCGCGTCCACGCCCAGCCTCCCGGCCCCTGGGCTGCTCGCGGCCTTTCTTTCCCGGCTGGGCTCGGGCTCAGCTCGACTGGGCTCGGCGGGCGGCGGCGGCGGCGGCGGGCGGAGGAGGGAGGGCGAGGGCGGGCGCGGGCCGGCGGGCGGGCGGAAGAGGGAGGAGAGGCGCGGGGAGCCAGGCCTCGGGGCCTCGGAGCAGCCACCCGAGCAGACGGATCACACGGAGCAGCGGCCCCGGCCCCGCCGGATCTGCAGCCGAGTGAGTCGGGGCCCCAGCCCGGCGCCCGATCCCCGCGCGGGGGTGGGAAGGGGCTGCGGAAAAGTTGGGAGCCCCGGAGGCCTCTTTGTCGCAGGGCGGCGGAGGGGTCGGACTGGGGAGGCCGTCAGGGGCCGCGCGGGGCGGGGGGCGGCGCTGGCGGGGTCGCTGCGGGCCGCTCATGGCGGCGGCCGGGGAGGGGGCGCAGCGCCTCAAGGGAGCGGCCGGCCGGCGGGCCTGGGCGCCGCGGACTCGCGGTAGGCGCCGCGCCTAGCCGGAGGAGCCCTCCTGGGCAACAGGTAGGGCGGGAGGTGGGGACGCGGGGGCTGCGGGCGACGGGGCCGAGCCGCGGGCGCCCCTTTGTTGGAGAGTGGAGGAGCCTGGTGACCATTGGCGCGAGAGCCTCCACCCTGGCAGCGGTCCGCGGGGTTGCCCCGGCCTGGACGCGTCCTGTGGCTCGGGTGGGAGGAGAGGGGAGGGCCCTGCCCCGTTTTCTTCCTACCGGCCCACGGTGCCCACCTCGCAGGCGAGGTCAGAGCTTCCATGTGCTTAACGGGAAACAGGAAGGAGCGGCCCAGAGCGCCTGCCCCGGCCCGGCAGGGCTAAGGCATACCGTTATGAGGTGTGGATGGCTGGCAAGGGAGCTCCTGGTGGAACTGGCTTTCTGGGCCGTAGCTTGTTAATCACCAGAGGCCCGTGGCAAGTGGGTTGACTGCAGGTGTAGAGCATTCATCTTTAGCCTGCAGTTGGAGTTTCTCCCTCCCTAAGCCTGGCTCCTGGCATCAAAACCTGGTTTCAGTCACCTGAGTTGCCAGGCCCAGGTTCAGGGGGTTCTGAGGATCGTGACGAATGCAGTGCTCCCCTGTTCCTGGAGAACTAAGTCCCAGCAGGCCTCCAGCAGGGACTTATATCTGTGCTGGGGCAGGGGTGGGTGGGGGTTGCTGCCCCATACCGGAGTCGGCGTGACCGCACCTGGGTGTGAGTGGCTGCACATGTAAAGGGGCTCCTAAGGGTAAGGACTTGTCTGCAGCCCTGTCCCTGAGGACCTGGCCGTGAGCATACCATGATCTGCACAGTCTGTGTTCCAGAGAGAGATCCTTTTCTCCCCTGGTCCCCTACTCCCCTCACTGGGGCCTCTGGCCAGGTTTTCGGGAGGAAGGGCCTCCTTTTTCCCCTGTCACTGTCCACAGGCTGGCTGATCCTTCACTGTGTCCTTCAGCACCGCCCCAGCTGTCTCTTGAACCCACCGGCCTCTCCCTGCCCCTGGGGCCATAGTCTCCTGCAGTGTTTGGGTCTGTGGAGGCCTTTGGTGGGACTTTCCAGACAAGCTGTAGGCCAGATGGGGCTGAGGACTGCTGTTCTGACCGCCTTTCACCCACCTCTTCTTACAATCTGGCTTATTTTGAGGCCCATCCTGCAGCCTGGAGGGATAACACACCTCTCCTTGGCTCCATCCATGGCCTGTCAACTTCTAGTTCATGACCTGCTGCTGTTGCCTGAAAAAAGTTTTCAACAAGGAAGAGACTATTCAGGACTTCTTCAGTGGAAGCAGGGAGCCCGTGGGACCTTTGTCACTCCTCCCTTGTCAACAACTCCTTTCTATTTTCCTCAGTTATTCCTCCAAACTGTGAGAGCCAGTCAGACTGACCACATGGAGTCGGGGAGAATTCCTTCCTCTCAGGCCCAAACAGCTGCCCTCTCAGCCCTTTGGATCTACAGACTCCCGTGGGGACCCTCTGCACCTTTCATCCACCTAGAGGGGTCTTGTGGGGATGTCAGTCAGAGTTGGGGCAAAGGTTGGGGCTGGGCAGAGTCCTGCTCAAGTTCCTGTTAATCCAATGCCAGTTAAATCCCTGCTCTTCTGGCCCCTCTCCAGGCTGTGCCTCAGAAAGTGGCATCTGTGCCTCTAAGGCAGGTGTGTGTGAGAGAACGTAGACAGATACCATGTCTCTTCATGTGTATGGGGGAAGTCTGGGTGGAAAAGTGTTTGTAGATGTGATTTTCTCCACAAGAAGTCAAGTAACTGCCCTGAAGGCCCAGCGGGCCTGGAAAAACATTGTTGTCTCCTTACCCTGTGTAAACTTCACCTTTTCTTGCCCCAGCCTTTTGTTTATGGGGTCTTGCTCGGATCCGTATGCTGGTGCTAAGAGGCCTCCCCAGCACCGCCACAGGGACCCAACTCTTTGGTTCTGTGGGGATGTGTAAGTGAGGCTGGCCAGGCCCCTGCTGCCCTCCCCTCCCCTCATGTTGAGTCAGAGGTCCTGACCCTGCTGAATCTGGGGCCTCCCTGCTGGGGAGATGGGGGTAGTGCCTCTCTGCTAATGGAGGTACAGGACCACCAGGGAGGGCTGTGGTCATGGGAAGCCTGCAACCTCGGTGTAAAAGCCTCCATTAATCTGCATTTCCCAAGTCTTCCACTCTCCCTGCTTGGAGTGGAAGAGGACAGGTGCTATCTCATCTTGGGGATGAGGAAGTTGCACTGCCCAGGTGTCTGCCCTTGACCATGCTCTAGTGCCTACTTTGTCTGCCCCCCTACCCCGGCCCCCCACCCCCACCCCCTGCTTTGCAGGCATGAGACATTCCTGGGCCCCAGGAGTCCAGCAGGGGCTCCACCCTCCCTCTGTGACTCCAGCCTGCCGCCTGACTAGAGAAACATCCCTGCCAGTTTTCACTGACCTGGCTAGGGATGGGATCCAAAGTCTAGGACTGCTGGGGCAACACGGTACCTTTGGCTTTACATTTCCCTGGAGAAGTTGGGCTCCAAGAGACAGCAGTCAGGTGACTGGGTCAGGCTGATTTCTCGCTTCCAATCAGGCTGAGCAAAAAGTGGAAAGAGGGGGTCACGTGCACACATCAAGGTGTTCCACATTGTCCCGTCTCTGTGCGGTTTCTACTCTTGTCCCTTCTCTATTCAATTTTCTACAACTTTTCTCTAGGAAAAAAGTGTGTGTGTGTTTGTGTGGGGAAAGTTCCGCTGTGGATAATTACATTTAATTTTGTTCAGTTCAGAAGGCTTCCATCTGTTTAATTAAATATTTATTCTGGCTGAGGTGGAGGGGGCAGGGGCAGTGCCTGGAATGTGTGTGTGTGATTTGGGGGAGGAGGAGGGGAGAAGGTGGAGCTGAAGCTCCTTTACTGGCAGTGCTGACTTCTGATTTCATCCGAGAGAGCAGTGACCAGGAGTGGGGACAAGGGGGTAAAAGTCCTTGAGCTGGAATACTGATCCATGACAGGCTGAGGGATTTCGCAAGGGCTTCTGTGGTGGGTGGGGGTGGAGCGGGAGCTGTCAGAGCAGCAGCAGGACCAGCCCAGCCCAGCTGTGGTCTCAGGCTCTTTCTTCAGTCAGTGGCACCAACTAGTCTCTAGGTCACGGTGGATAACAATCTCACCACTCTCTTTTCTTCCTGTCTCTGCTTTCACTTTCTGGGCCAGCCTAAATCCCACTGCCTCACTTCCTTCCCAGGAGGGGAACAAGGGGTGGGGAGCCTGGAAAAGACTGTCCTGGTCATCCTGCTGCGGCTTCTTGCTGAGTCCTAGGATTGCCAGGTGTTGTGCTGGACCCAGCATCCCTGGCTCTTCTGGACCATCTTGCCGTTCCTCTCAGCTCCAAGCAGCTGCTCTTCCTTCGTGAGCCACACACAGACCGTTCCTTCCCTCCTCTGGGTATCCAAGTGGTCACTCCCACCATGTTCCTCTTTCAGTTGGGGGAGAAGGTTTACATAGCGGCTCTTTCCTAGACTGAGGGGGTATGGGTGTTCCCCTGCAGACTAGGATTTTATTTTCTGGATGAGCATTTATACGAAATAGCTCTGACCAGGCACAGTGGCTCATGCCTGTAATCCTAGCACTTTGGGAGGCCAAGGTCGGCAGGTTGCTTGAGCCCAGGAGTTCAAGACCAGCCTGGGCAACATGGCAAAACCGTTTCTACCGAAAAAAAAATTCAAAAATTAGCCAGATGTGGTGCTTGCTACTCGGTAGTGCGTGCTACTTATAGCCCCAGCCACTCGGGAGACTGAAGCAGGAGGGGAGGATGGCTTGAACCTGGGAGGTGGAGGTTGCAGTGAGCCATTATTGTACCACTGCACTCCAGCTTGGGTGACAGAGGAAGACCCTGTCTCAAAAGAAAATAAAAGAATAGCTCTTAATTCCACCAGATGTATTGGTCTGCTGTCTTGGTTCCCTGCCCTATAATCCCTGACTCTTTGCAGCCCTACCTTCACTTTTCTTTCTGAAGAGTTATACATAGGGTCCTTCTGCCTTATGTGTAGGGACTAGATGGCTTGGCATGGAGTGTCAACCTTGTGTGCAGTTCGATGTCCAGTGATTGTGGAGCTCAGCATCATTTGGGGACATAATTTTGCTTTATCCTGGCTTTATTTATTTATTTTTAAAGACATAGTCTCTGTTACCCAGGCTGGAGTGCAGTGGCGAGATCACGGCTCACTGCAACCTTCACCTCCCAGGCTCAAGTGATCCTCCCACCTCAGCCTCCCAAGTAGCTGGGATTACAGGCATGTGCCACCACACTAAGCTAATTTTTGTACTTCTTGTAGAGATGGAGTTGCACCGTGTTGCCCAGGCTGGTCTCAAACTCCTGAGCTCAAGGGGTCAGACTGCCTCGGCCTCCTAAAGTGCTGGGATTACAGGCATGAGCCACTGCCTAGCCTACCCTGTCTCTTCAATTTTTCTTTAGGGACCTGCTACTCAGATGGGTTGTAGGTTGTAGGGAAGAGGAAGAAGGGTTTGCCTCAGCCCTGCAGTGTTTTGGGGCACCTCCTGGAAGCTTTCAGCTAAGTTGGCTTGGAGGCTTGAGGAAATGGCCAGAGCATGGGGGGATAAGGGAGGGACTTTACTCAGATTGTTGGCTATAGTTTCTAGGGCCAGGTCCTGCCTGTCTTCCAGGTTGAGATAGAAAAATGACAAGACCCCCAAGGTTCTCCCCCACTCCCGAAATCAGAGGTTGTAAGGACCCCAAGTTTCTTAATTCCAGGGAATCACATCTGCAGGTTGCTGTAGACGATAAATGTTTTTTGTTTTTTGTTTTTTTTTTTTTGAGATGGAGTCTTGCTCTGTCACCCAGGCTGGAGTGCAATGGCATGATTTCGGCTCACTGCAACCTCCACCTCCTGGGTTCAAGCGATTCTCCTGCCTCACCCATTCGAGTAGCTGGGACTATAGGCGCCCGCCACCATACCCAGCTAATTTTTTGTATTTTTAGTAGAGACGAGGTTTCGCCATGTTGACCAGGCTGTTCTGGATCTCCTGACCTCGTAATCTGCCAGTCTCGGCCTCCCAAAGTGCTGGGACCACAGGTGTGAGCCACCACGCCCAGCCTGACAGTAAATGTTAAAACTGGAAAGCCACCATATTACAGATGAGGAAACTGATTTGCCCAAGGCTGCATAGCCAGGATAGGAATCTAGAGTTCGACTCTGCCCCCTTCTCCTTTTGATACACCCTGAAAACTTTCATTCATCTATCTCTTCCCCCATAGCTACCTCCTCTTGATGCCCTCCCCTTTGCCTCTCACTCAGGATGCTCCAGACTTTGTATGATTACTTCTGGTGGGAGCGCCTGTGGCTGCCTGTGAACTTGACCTGGGCCGATCTAGAAGACCGAGATGGACGTGTCTACGCCAAAGCCTCAGATCTCTATATCACGCTGCCCCTGGCCTTGCTCTTCCTCATCGTTCGATACTTCTTTGAGCTGTAAGCATGCCAGCGTACCCTCATGCCTTCCCCAGTTGCCAGTTGTAGTTTCTTGGACTTCAAGTTTGTTCCTTGCTATTTAATTAGCCCTAGACCCTGATGTTCTGGCTACTCAGGTTCCTGCCGACTGTGCACCCCCTCCCCTGAAGGCACCATTGTCTTCCTGAAGGCTCAGCACCCCCAGGCCCTTTCCATCAATGGTTATTTGTTCTCACCCTCCACCCGCCACCCGCCTGGCCACTAGTGAACACACAGGCAGCTTTGTCAGCTGTGGGCAGCCCTGGAGGCTAGAGAAAAGGGGGTTGCCAGGAAGCTGGGGAAACTGAGGCCAGGGTAAAGTTGCCTCAGCTTGCAGCCCTTTCCCTTCCCAGCAAGCTAGATACCTTACTTATATCCCTTCCCCAGGTACGTGGCTACACCACTGGCTGCTCTCTTGAACATAAAGGAGAAAACCCGACTGCGGGCACCTCCCAATGCCACCTTGGAACATTTCTACCTGACCAGTGGCAAGCAGCCCAAGCAGGTATGAGCTGCATGCTGCCCTGACTCTGGGAATCACTGGGTTTGGTGGGGAGGGGAGAGGGTTTGAATGTTCGCTCCGGCAGGTGAAGAGATGGGGAAGCAGTGGTGCTGACTGAGCTTGTTACTGGGAGAGGCTGGGGGTGCTGCTGAGTTCCAAAGGTAAACATAACAATGGGCTTCTTCACTATGCCCAGGTGGAGGTAGAGCTTTTGTCCCGGCAGAGCGGGCTCTCTGGCCGCCAGGTAGAGCGTTGGTTCCGCCGCCGCCGCAACCAGGACCGGCCCAGTCTCCTCAAGAAGTTCCGAGAAGCCAGGTGGGGGAGGCTGGGGCAGGAAAAGCTGGGTGGCAAGCAAGATCCTGATGTGTCTTGCTGGGAGGGATAGGTGGTGGCTATATGCAGGGAGATGTGAGGAGGTGAATTTAGTTATTAATGGTATTGAGGATATCTGCAGGTATTTGGGGGCTGCTGGGGGACTGTGCTGTCCTCTGACCTAGCCATTTCCACTTCCTTTGCCAGCTGGAGATTCACATTTTACCTGATTGCCTTCATTGCCGGCATGGCCGTCATTGTGGATGTGAGTGGGGATTACTGGGAGGTGGGAGTAGGTTCTCTGGCAAGGTCAGGTGAGGCCATGGAATTTGGGTTCCTCCTCTTTTAACCTCTCACCATCTCTGCAGAAACCCTGGTTCTATGACATGAAGAAAGTTTGGGAGGGATATCCCATACAGGTATGAGTCTTGCTTCCTCATATGTGGGTGGACTAAGACACACCCCAGTGAAGAGACAGTTTGTGTAATCCATAGCAGAGGGATTAGAGTGATGGGATGAAGAACCTCAGGGACTAGAGGGTTTGTGGAGTGGGGACACCCTTGGGGCTGGTTGCTCTTACCTCTCTCTCCTCTCCCAGAGCACTATCCCTTCCCAGTATTGGTACTACATGATTGAACTTTCCTTCTACTGGTCCCTGCTCTTCAGCATTGCCTCTGATGTCAAGCGAAAGGTGGGTGAAGGGGTTGTGCAATTAAGCCTAAGAGCCAAAATGAGGCCCTGGGATGAACACCCTCTCCTTTGACTTCTGGGTACTCTGAATGGAGCTGTTGGTATAGGGGGAACTAAAGGCAAGGGGGAAGGCGTAGTGAGAGCTGGGGAAGAAAAATTCCCTGGGGCCTGCATCATCTCTGCAGGATTTCAAGGAACAGATCATCCACCATGTGGCCACCATCATCCTCATCAGCTTTTCCTGGTTTGCCAATTACATCCGAGCTGGGACTCTCATCATGGCTCTGCATGACTCTTCTGATTACCTGCTGGAGGTTAGGCTTCCTCAAACCTACAGACCCTGGTGCAGGTTCTTGTGTCCCTTTGATTTTCTTTGGGAGGGAGGTGCGGGGTGGGAATTTGGAGGGTGACATTCCTGGGACCAAGGAGGAGGGCACAGAGTCAGTGCTCCTAACTGGAGTGTACATATGAATGTACTTGAGGGAGTCAGGAGCCCATGATGATGGATGTGGGCTCTCTATGCAGTCAGCCAAGATGTTTAACTACGCGGGATGGAAGAACACCTGCAACAACATCTTCATCATCTTCGCCATTGTTTTCATCATCACCCGACTGGTCATCCTGCCCTTCTGGTGAGTAGGCAGCCAGGCTACACTCCTGTTCTGAAGAAATCAGAAGCCTTGCCTTTCTCCTGCTCCTGTATCTCCCTGGTGTCTTACCTGCTCTTGTCCTTGTTTACAATTCTCTCTCCTTGAATCCTCAGGATCCTGCATTGCACCCTAGTGTACCCACTGGAGCTCTATCCTGCCTTCTTTGGCTATTACTTCTTCAATTCCATGATGGGAGTTCTACAGCTGCTGCATATCTTCTGGGCCTACCTCATTTTGCGCATGGCCCACAAGTTCATAACTGGAAAGGTAAAGGCTCTGTCCCCATTGTGTAGGCCTTACTACTCTCTACGACTTCCTGAACTCCCATCTTGCCAGCAATCCTCTAAAAAAGTAGTGTGGGGCCTTGGGTATAACAGGAGCAAGCCCTCAGAGAGAAGCAGTCTTTAGGGGTTTGAGGATCTCATGTAATAACCGTTCTTGTCCCTTTTCCACAGGTGGTAGAAGATGAACGCAGTGACCGGGAAGAAACAGAGAGCTCAGAGGGGGAGGAGGCTGCAGCTGGGGGAGGAGCAAAGAGCCGGCCCCTAGCCAATGGCCACCCCATCCTCAATAACCACCATCGTAAGAATGACTGAACCATTATTCCAGTTGCCTCCCAGATTAATGCATAAAGCCAAGGAACTACCCCCCTCCCCGCGCTATAGGGTCACTTTAAGCTCTGGGGAAAAAGGAGAAAGTGAGAGGAGAATTCTCTGTATCCTCCCTCCTTGCTTTTCACCCAGTTGCCTTTAAACCAAATTCTAACCAGCTTATCCCCAGGTAGGGGGACATTGGTTATATTCTGTTAGAGGGGGATGGTTGTATTTTCCTCCCTATCCTCCAAGTCATCCTTTCTACTGCTTTTGAGGCCCTTCCCTCAGCTCTCTGTGGGTAGGGGTTACAACTCACATTCCTTATTCTGAGAATTTGGCCCTAGCTGTTTGCCTTTGACTCCCTGACCTCCAGTCAGGGTTGTGCCTTATTGTCCCATCTGTGGGCCTCATTCTGCCAAAGCTGGACCAGGGCTCACCTTTCTAAGCTCCCTAAAACTTGGGCCAGAAACCAAAGCTGAGCTGACTTTTAACTTTTTCCCTCTATGACACAAATGAATTGAGGGTAGGAGGGTACACATAACCCTTACCCTACTTCTGCCAAAAAGTGGGGGCTGTACTGGGGACTGCTCGGATGATCTTTGTGCTACTTCTTTCAGCTGTCCCTGTAGCCACAGGTCTAAGATCTGACTGCCTCCTCCTTTCTCTGGCCTCTTCCCCTTCCCTCTTCAGCTAGGCTAGCTGGTTTGGAGTAGAATGGCAACTAATTCTAATTTTTATTTATTAAATATTTGGGGTTTTGGTTTTAAAGCCAGAATTACGGCTAGCACCTAGCATTTCAGCAGAGGGACCATTTTAGACCAAAATGTACTGTTAATGGGTTTTTTTTTTTAAATTAAAAGATTAAATAAAAAATATTAAATAAAACATGGCAACAAGTGTCAGACTATTAGGAATTGAGAAGGGAGATCAACTAAATAAACAAAGAGAGTCTTTCTTATGCCTTCCTTGCAGTTATGTAACATTTTCTTTTTTAAATTTCACATGCATGTAATTCCAGCACTTTGGGGGGCCAAGGAGGGTGGATCACTAGAGGTCAGGCGTTTGAGACCAGCCTGGCCAACATGGCGAAACCCCATCTCTACTAAAAATACACACATTTAGCTGGGCGTGATGGCAGGCGCCTGTAATCCCAGCTACTTGGGAGGCTGAGGCAGGAGAATCACTTGAACCTGGGAAGCAGAGGCTGCAGTGAGTTGACATAGAGCACTGCACTCCAGCCTGGGTGACAGAGCGAGAACTCCATCTAAAATAATTCACGTGCAAGAAGCAAAGGTAGACAAGATAGAAGATTAATGACAGCAGCCCACGGGGGAGGACTGGGATAGTATCTCACTGAAAGATCCAGATTTGGGAGTATCGGGCTGAAAGAAACGAAATCACAACCTTAGTTTTATCATATTGTTAAAAGACTTTCAAGAAATAATACAAACTGGAGATAGTAGATACACAGGCTCCATTCTAAGAACAAAGTCTGTTAGAAGCAGGAACACTTGGACAAATGTGGGATGGGAGGGATGTCAGGCCTAGGTTAGAGTGGTGATCTCTCCCCACCCTTTAGGGCCTTTGGAGGTGGAGAAGGGATCCTGCCTGCTAGCACCACATTGGAAGGGATCATCTGGTCCAGAACCCCTATTTCTATCTACTAGGAGCTGGGGGGAGTAGCTAGACCAGAGACTTCGGGTCAGGGTTCAACAATCAGGAAGACCCAGTTCCTGAGGAAACGACAGTTCAAGAAGGGTTGGGAAGAAGGCTGTCCTCTAAAGAAGACGTCCTCTGCATTCAATGGCCCCACAGCAACAGAGCAGCTCCTTGCCTTCCACACTGCCCACCTCATAGTTGTAGTCCCAAGTAAGTTCTGTCCCAGCCCGGATTCTTCTGAAGAGGAAGAAAAAGGATGGTGTGTGGCGAAGACAGCAGATAACCCAGGCCCTTGGGGTTACTGAATATGTAGGTGAAGTTGCATCATGAATGGAGGAGGGGCCCTTGGAACTTCAGTGGTCCTTGCCCCTCCCCAGTCATCCCCTTTCCTGACTCCTTACTTGCTGGCAAAGAAGGCCACCCAGGGGAAGCGAAGATCATGGGTATCCACGAAGACATTCTGGACAAACAGGTTGGGGCTGCAACTGTGCTGTAGGTTTAAGGACAGGATCAAATAAGAGCCAGGGAAACTGAATCTGGCTTTGCAGGGAGAGTGAGAGTTGGAAGAAAAATGCTGTCTGACCCTCCCCATTATAACAGATGCTTTGAAAGAAAGCTACCTCTTTAAGATCCTTAACAAGAAAAGGTGGGCTTATAGAGTATGTTAAAAGAAATTTGAGGACTATGGGATAATCCAGCATCTAGAGGTGGGGAGAGGGGTCTCACGTTGAGGTAGCGGCCCAGGTTGCCTTCAAGCTTGGCATCGATGATGTAGCAAGACTCCTCGCCATCGTAGAATTGGCGTGTGTTCTTACGAACAGGTGCACTCTCCCCCTTGTCCACAGAGGCCATGTTGGTTGATTTAATTGCAATCCCATGGGTTGATTTAAGGGCAAAGCCTCGGGTTGACTTTACTGCCACTTGACGCTTCACTGGACCTGGACAGGAGGGAGAATGGGGTCAGGACCCATCCCAACTCACGAATGGACATTCTACCCCTCTCTCTCTCCCAACATTGCAGCTGAGAAACACCAATAAGCTGGAACTCAAAGATCCTAAGTGGCAGTTTTTTCCCAAGCATAATTAGATCTGAGGGGAAAAGAGTAGCAAACCGGAAATGAGAGAGGATGTGTCAAAGAATAGTTTAGCTCGGAGTCAGAAAGCCCTCCCAGAGATGCTCCAATTCTTAGGATCTGAATTTTTACCCGCTACTTCTTTAGCTTCCTTAAAAAATGCTCTATCCCAAGTTTCTTACTATTTCTTCCCACCACTCCCAACATTTTTCCAGGCTACCAGTCATGTTCTTCTTGTCCTCAAAGTCATCCCCTTCAGAGCCAGAGGAGATGGTCTGGATATCATCACTGTCAACCGCTGTAGCCGAAGTCTGACCAGCAGTGGGCTTTCGGCTGGTCCCACTTTCCCCCTCACTTTCTGTGCTGCTGGACAGTGTCAGGACATCCTGGGGAATCAGGAGGGTAAGAAGGAAGAGAAGTAAATGGGAAGGGCTCCTTAAAGTCCTTGCTGTTACCCATGGTCTAGCAGGAAGGGGCAATGGCAAGAGGAGGCTTAGATGCTGGATGAAAGAAAATAAGGCAGGAAGTCAAGGCTAAAGAAGTAGAAGACCTAACAGTAATTATAGTGAAGGACTTGATGAGGTGACAATGGCCCGTGTTCCTTTATTAGACTCAGAAGCTTGAGAAGGTCACTTACATCAGGGTTGGACTGAGCAGAAGCCATGAGTCGTCGGCTTTGATGCATACTAGTCTTACTAGGTGGGCGGCGAAGTCCTTCAGGCTTCACGGGAGAAGGATTGTAACCGTAGTTTCGAGAGCATTCAGTAACTCTGATGGGAGGGGAAGGAATGAGGCCAACAGGTTACTGGCTGTTTCTGAGGCTTCTAGCCTAGATTTGAGAGAAGGCAGATTTGGAAACAGGTCAAAAAGGCACTGGGCCGGATGCGGCAGCTAATGCCTGTAATCCCAGCAATTTGGGAGGCTGAGGATCCCCTTTGGGAGCATCGCTTGAGCCCAGGAGTTCAAGACCAGTTTGGGAAACATGGTGAAACCCCGTGTCTACAAAAAATAGAAAAACTAGCCACATGTGGTGGTGCACGCCTGTAGTCCCAGCTACTAGGGAGGCTGAGGTAGCAGAATCTCTTGAGCCTGGGAGGGGGAAGTTGCAATGAGCTGAGATTACGCCAATGCACTCAGCCTGGGTGACAAAGCAAGACTCTGTCTTAAAACAAAACAAAACAAATGAACAAAAGGCACTTACACTGACATCTTGTTTCGGTCGTCAGGGTCCTGGAAAAGAACAAGTTAAGGGTTAAATGCTTTCACAGCCTAAAGTTAACAAGTCCAATAATCAGACTTCAAATGACCTCCAAAGATAACATCAGCCAGTGACAGGTACACATTCTAAAGTGGGGTGGGTAAACCACTCTGCAACTTGACAGCAATCTTCACTATACTCTCTGGCTGGAGCCTTTAAGCCTTCTCAGTGATGGGGCTTAATGCTCATGGAAAATACCACGAGCAGGCTTACAGCAACCAGGGACAGTTTTACCATCTGTAATGTGGAAAGCATCAACATCATCAAAGAGATACTTAAAATCAATTATTGTTTCTCTACTTTAGTACAAGTAAACAATGATGTGAATAACTTGAAACAGCGTTTAACATTAAAAAATCACTTATGAATCTTTCATTTTGGAATTAATCAGATACTTGTCCACCCTCTACCACCAGGCATGTGGATTTTAAAATAATTTTTTTTTTGAGACAGTCTCGTTCTGTTACCCAGGCTGGAGTGCAGTGGTGCGATCTCGTCTCACTGCACCTCTGCCACCTGGGTTCAAGTGATTCTCCTGCCTCAGCCTCCCAAGTAGCTGGAAATACAGGCATGCGCCACCATGCCTGGCTAATTTTTGTATTTTTTAGTAGAGACAGAGTTTCACCATGTTGGCCAGGATGGTCTCCAACTCCTGACCTTCAAGTTATCCACCTGCCTCGGCCTCCCAAAGTGTTGAGATTACAGGCGTGAGCCACCATGCCCGGCCAATAATTTGGTTCTTTAAACAAACACTAGGTATGTGCTAATTAGGGGGAGAGATAACAAGGTGGCCACAGAAATATCCATCAAGTAGAATAATCTACATGCAAAGACTCATGGTGAGACTGCATTAAGTTTGTTACTGCACCAAAGTTAAAGCCATAGCTCTCAGAGTTTTCTGCCACTACTTACCTCTTTCTTGGCCTGCTTGATGTCTCCCTCATCCTTGATGCCTAGTCCTGAGGTGGAGGCCTTTTCAGCCTCCATTCGGCTTCCCCCAGCCCGGCCCTCCCCACCTTCATTAGTCTTAAAGGATGAATGGCTATCAGAGTCAGCAAAACCACCTTCACTGACACTATTGCAGCTCAACCATGAGGCCACCTTGTTCTTGGGTGTCTCTTCAGAGGAAGGTGGATTGCAGCCACCTACAGGGATTGGGGGAGGAACAGGAATATGTAGGGGTCCAAGATCTGGGGGGTGGGAGTCCTTGGAAGTTGTCTCAGAGAGTCCGTTCTCTTTCTGGCCCCGGGTCTGTCTCCGGGTAGCATAGCTCCGCCACACTGAACTGGTGCTGAAGTCCTCATCCTTACAGAAGTTATCATCTGAGCTATCATCATTGGACTCTTCAGGGTCCTCTGTACCGCTGTTGCCATCTTCCTGGTCCTTCAAGTCTACACCACTGCTGTCAGAGGAACAGGGGGCATCACTCTCATATCCTTCTTTGAAGTTCTCCACGCTCTCGATATGGTCCAGATTTGCAAAGTACTCATCACCCATTTCCAGACCCTCCTTGTCTGCAAAGTCATCTGTCAGGATTTTGCCTGAGAATGAAGAGAATTAAAGGCCTTCTAGGGTTATGGGGACCTATTAGTTTTTTGTTTTTTTTTTTCTTGCTCTGTCACCTAGGCTGGAGTGCAGTGGTGCGATCTCGGCTCACTGCAACCTCTGCCTCCCAGGTTCGAGCAATTCTCCTGCCTTAGCCTCCTGATGGGACTACAGGTGCACACCACCACAACTGGCTAATTTTTTTTTGTATTTTTAGTAGAGACAGGGTTTCACCATGTTGGCCAGGTTGGTCTTGAACTCCTGACCTCAGGTGATCTGCCCGCCTCAGCCTCCCAGTGTTGGGATTACAGGTGTTAGCCACCGCACCCGGCCACGGGGACCTATTAGAAAGAATAAGGGTCATTCCATCAATACCTGCTCTACCAGCATATAGAGTCAAAAAGCCTCCATTCTGGTCTCTCATTTCTGTTTTTCTGTTTTTGAGTTAGAGTTTCACTTTTGTCACCCAGGCTGGAGGGCAGTGGCATGATCTCAGCTCACTGCAACCTCTGCCTCAAGGGTTCAAGTGATTCTCCTGCCTCAGCCTCCCAAGTAGCTGGGATTACAGGTGTCCACCACCACACCTGGCTAATTTTTGTATTTTTAGTAGACATGGGGTTTCAACCATGTTGGCCAGGCTGGTCTCCAACTCCTGACCTCAGGTGATCCATCCACTTCGGCCTCCCAAAGTTTTGGGATTATAGGCGTGAGCCACCACGCCTGGCCCAGTGTTTGATAATACCTCCCTTTGTATCTTAACTATGATAAAGTATGGAGAACTTACTGTCATTTTAAATCTTGCCCTTTCTGTCTTTCCATTTCTTCTACTTTATCAAAAGAGTACTGGGCTATGCTAAAAGATCTCTGAGTGGAGTGACATGGAAGAAAATGATACACTGGACTCTATAATCATGTCTGTCCTCTGAAATATCACCATGTCCAAAATTTCATCCCTTTTCATTCTCTTCTTTGTGAAACACTTGTGTCCCTCTCTGGTCTAGCTAGACAGGTACATCACTCATCACGTTCTTTGTAGAAGTCCCTGGCCGCCTCTTACTCCAGTTCACATGTCAAGCACTTTCTTCTTATGTTCAATTTGTCTCTGGTTCAATTCCCTACCATGTCCCAATCTCAGGAAACAACCCTTATATTTTATCACCAACCTGCATAAATACAGACAAAAGAGCCTTTGGCAATGTCATCCAAGCAGCGGATACCCCAGCCCTTGTTCTGTGTCTTGAATAGCTGTAGCCGAACTTGTAGTCCATGTTGTACCAACCGGTTTGTGCACATGTTTGGGTCACATTTGCAGCGTTTGTTACACTCATATACCCTGGGAGGAGGTTAGGATAAAATCAATCACGATATGATCACTAGAGCACAATAAATCCATAAAACTGTTGTAATTCTTAAGCTATTATCATTTATAATGTGTTGTAGATAAAGATTAAAAATTAGGTAATGATCTAAGTGAATGGATCTATTGAACTATCTATGCTCTTTGATTCATTTGGAAATACAGCCCAAGGAAAAAATTTAGAGGGTGGAGAAAGATTTAAAGATGTCTATAGCAATACAGCTCATAAAAGTGAATGCTAGAGTGCCTAACACCTGGAGAAAAGCTAAGCAAACTATAATGGGAATACAGATTACAGAGCCATTAAAATAAGCACTATATGGACTGTCAATTTATAGAAGTAGATAAAGACATGTGAGAATAAAGACAAAATAAAGATATGTGAGAAATTCCAGGTGAGGTTTCTTACTAATAACAGCAATAATAATAATAATAGTAATAATAAAAATAAATAAATGTGAGAAAAACAGAGGCCAACATAACACATACGAAAGGGAATAAAGAGATAGGAGGAATTGTGACTAATGTTCATGGTAAAGTTGATTTTCATTCTTTTATTCAGTAAACATTTATTAAACACCAAGAGCTCTACCAAACACTGGAAACATAACAATGAAAAAGGTCATGGGCGTGGTGGCTCATGCCTGTAATCCCAACACTTTGGGAGGCCAAGGTGGGCGGATCACGAGGTCAGGAGATTGAGACCATCCTGGCTAACACGGTAAAACTCCATCTCTAATAAAAATTAAAAAATTAGCTGGGTGTGGTGGCATGCGTCTGTAGTCCCAGCTACTTGGGAGGCTGAGGCAGGAGAATTCCTTGAACGCGGGAGGCGGAGGTTGCAGTGAGCGGAAATCGCGCCACTACACTCCAACCCGGGAGACGGGGTGTGACTGTCTCAAAAAAAAAAGAAAAAGAAAAAGGGTCATAATTTCTACCCTCGGGCAGCTCATATTCTTTTTTTTTTTTTTTGAGACAGAGTTTCGCTCTTGTTGCTCAGGCTGGAGTGCAATGGCGCGATCTCAGCTCACCACAACCTCTGCCTCCTGTGTTCAAGTCATTCTCCTGAATCAGCCTCCCAAGTAGCTGGGATTATTACAGGCATGCGCCACCATGCCTGGCTAATTTTGTATTTTTAGTAGAGTTGGGGTTTCTCCATGTTGATCAGGCTATTCTCGAATTCCCGACCTCACGTCATCTGCCTCCCTTGGCCAACCAAAGTGCTGGGATTACAGGCATGAGCCACTGCGCCCGGCCCAGGGGAGCTCATATTCTATTTAATTTAAGAATTGGGGCCAGGCGCAGTGGCTCATGCCTGTAATCCCAGCTATTTAGGAGGCTGAGGTGAGAAGATCACTTGAGCCCAGGAGTTCGAGGTTGCAGTGAGCTATGATCACACCACTGCGCTCCAGCCTGAATGACAAAGCAAGTCCATCCCATCTCTGAAAAAGAAAAAAAATTTTAATTATTTTTAAACAACATTAAAGGTAATCAGAGGGATCTAGCACATACCAACATTAAAGGAAGATAACACAGTTATACTAAGAAAACTAATTGTTTCAGGTAACAATGTTTTTGCTCTATATGATTTGCCCAGTGTTAGAATTTTACTTATTTTCTTGGTATGCAAAATTGATGGGAGAAATTTACTTTTGGAAATGATTCAACAGCTCAGTTATTTCATGATTTTAGTCACATCCCTCCAGATAAAGATGGTAAGAGCAGCTTCTACTTAATAAGCATATGATTTGTGTTTGGCACTGTGTGAAAGCCTTATATATACATTTTCACATTCTCTCCTTAAAGCTATGCTAACACAGATGGTCTTTTTTCTTTTTGAGACACAGTCTCGCTTTGTCGCCCAACCTCTGCCTCCTGGGTTCAAGTGATTCTCCTGCCTCAGCCTCCCGAGTGGCTGGGATTACAGGTGCATGCCACCATACCCAGCTAATTTTTGTATTGGAGACAGGGTTTTACCATGTTGGCCAGGCTGGTCTTGAACTCCTGACCTCAAGTGATCCACCTGTTTTGGCCTCCAATTTTTTTTTTTTGAGACATGGTCTTGCTCTGTCACCGAGACTATAGTTCAGTGGCACAACCACAGCTCACTGCAGCCTTGACCTCCTGGGCTCAAGTAATCCTCCTGCCTCAGTCTCCTAAGTAGCTGGGACCACAGCTGCGTGCCACCTTGCCCAGTTAATTCTTAAATTTTTTTTGTACAGACGAGGTCTCATCACGTTGCCCAAGCAAATCTGGAACTACTGGACTCAAGCCATCCTCCCACCATGGCCTCCCAAAGTGGTGGGATTACAGGTGTGAGCCATCATGTCTAGCTTTTTTTTTTTTTCTAACTTTAAAAAAGATTATTTCCCATGTCGGTAATCCTAGCACTTTGGGAGCGAGACTCCATAGCAAAAAAAAAAAAAAAAAAAAAGGTTATTTCCTTGGTGGTCTAGTGGGTAGAGGGGAAAAAAAGATTACTGAAACGTAATATACACAGAGAGTACACATAAGTCTATAGATCAATGAATTTTACAAACTCAGCATACCATGTAACCTGCACCAGATCAAGAAACAACTTTGTTAGATCCTTTAAAACCCCACTGGGGACATGGCTTCCTTCATTATTTTGGGACTTAATTGGCCCTTTCAATTCAGAAACACAGACCCTTCAATTATGGGACACTTTCTGAATTATTTCACTGATGCTTTTCTCCTCCCTGTTCTGTTAATTATGTATCTTGATCACTAGGTTTAATAGTTCACATGTTTATATACACCAATTAACCATGCTATACTCCACTCTTTTGTTGTCCTCCTCCTCTTTTAGAGATGAGTCACGCTCTGTCACCCCAGGCTAGTGTTTATGTTAATATCCTGTGTTTACAGTTGATCAAAAAAGATCAGCTCAGTAGGGGCAGGGCTGGAATTTGAACTCAGGTGTAATCATTACCACATGAAACCTTTACAGTAGCTATACTGAGTATCATTCCTTCATTCCCCAAAATTTAAGTGGTTACTATTTTTTTTTTTTTTTTTGTGGCAGAGTCTAACTGTGTTGCCCAGGCCAGAGTGCAGTGGTGGGATCTTGGCTCACTGCAACCTCCACCTCGTGGGTTCAAGTGATTCTCCTGCCTCAGCCTCTGGAGTAGCTGGGATTACAGGCGCCCGCCACCATGCACGGCTAATTTTTGTATTTTTAGTACCGGGGGGGGGGGCAGTTTCAACATTTTGGTCAGGCTGGTCTCAAACTGCTGACCTCGTAATCCACCTGCCTGGGCCTCCCAAAGTGCTGGGATTACAGGTGTGAGCCACTGCGTCTGGCCAATTGTTTTTTTTTTTTTTAAGACGAAGTCTCCTTCTGTCACCCAGGCTGAGTGCAATGATGCAATCTTGGCTCACTGCAACCTCCGCCTCCCAGGTTCAACTGATTCTCCTCAGCCTTCTGAGTAGCTGGCACTATAGGTGCGCGCCACCATGCCTGGCTAATTTTTTGTACTTTATTAGTAGAGACAGGGTTTCACCATGTTGGCTAGGCTGGTCTCGAACTCCTGACCTCAAATGATCTGCCCACCTTCACCTCCCAAAGTGTTGGGATTACAGGCGTCAGCCACCGCACCTGGCCTAAGTGCTTACTATGTGCCAGGCATTGGGTAAACTGGTGATACAATGGTTAGCAAGACAGACAAAGACACACATAAGACCCTTGCCTTCATGAAGGAGCTTATATTATAACGGCAAAGAAGAAAAACACGTCAACAAAAGTTGTCATAAATGCTATAAAGAACATAAACATGGTGCTCAATGAGAGAATTAAGGGAGTAAAATGACCTAGTTTTAAATTGGTCAGGGAAGGTCTCTCTGAGGAGGTGACTTTACAGCTGAAAGCTCAAGGTTAAAGAAGATAGCCACACAAAGAAAAGTGGAAGGATGCCAAGAAGAGGGCACAGCATGTGCAAGTCTCCAGAGGCAGGCTGGAAAACACTGGTGGAACTGGATCCAGGAACTGAAAAATATCAGTGTGGTTGGAACGACTTTGGAGGGAGATAGGAAAGGGCCAGATATATAACCTAAGGTTAAGAGTCAGAATAAAATCCAAACAGCAGTGGGACTACATTATAGAGTTTTAAGCAGGGGAGTGACATATTATTTGTGATTATTTGAAAATATTTTTATGAAACATTTCAAACATGTAAAAAAGATATCAGGAACACTCATGTACCACCCAGCATTATCAAATCTAAACACTACTGTTAGATTCAAAATTTTGTTATTAAAACATACATGATATAGCAATGCAACTAAAGTTAACAACCGTCTATTCCTTTGTTTAGTTTGTAATCAGCAAAATTCATCCTATGATCTCCCCAGTAGTCTCGATCTCCTCTGAATGTATTCAGGCACCTCAGGTTTTCTATTAAACCGATTTTCCTGAAGTAGTTCCTGCAGCATCTGACCTGCTCTTGCAGTGGCTCTTCTCTATCCCTAGTACACAGCTGTCAGCCTGGAAGCCTCTTTCACCGCACTGCCACCTGTCTTCCACTTTCCTGGCTTTCCCTCTCATTTTTGCAAATATTTCCAGAAACTTTCTGAGAAGGGGAATGATGAAAAACTTTGAGGTACTGCATGTGTAAAAAAATGTCTTTAGCCTACCGTAACACCAAATTGATAGTTTGGCCGAGTTAAAAATTCCAGGTTGGAAATAATTTTCCCTTAGAATTCTGAACAGATTCGTCAATTGCTATCTAGCTTCTAGTGTTACTTTCAGGGAAGGCTGAAGTCATTTCAAGTCTATTTTTTAATGTGTTCTGTGTCTGTTCTCTGGAAGCTTTTAGGATTTTTTTTCCCCTCAGTGTTCTGACATTTTATGATAATGTCTCTAAATGAGAATCTACCTTTATCCTTCATTATTTTGGGACCTAATTGGCCCTTTCAATTCAGAAACACAGACCCTTCAATTATGGGACACTTTCTGAATTATTTCACTGATGCTTTTCTCCTCGCTGTTTTGTTAATTATGTATCTTGATTACTAGGTTTATTAGTTCACGTGTTTATATATACCAATTTACCATGCTATACTCCACTCTTTTGTTGTCCTCCTCTTTTAGAGATGAGTCACGCTCTGTCACCCCAGGCTAGAGTGTAGTGGCGTGATCATAGCTCATTGCAGCCTTGAACTACTGGGCTCAAGTGATTTTTCTGCCTCTGCCTCTCAAGTAGCTGGGACTACAGGCATGCACCCACTATGCCCGGCTAATTTTTAAAAAATTTAGGCCAGGCACAGTGGCTCACGCCTGTAATCCCAGCACTTTGAGAGGCTGGGGGAGCAGAGTGACATATTACTGCATACTATATATCACATTCTATGAATCCATCACCAGCCACAAGGCGAATGAATATCCAAACCTGGATGATTCACTAGACACAACTGTTCATAATAAGAGAAGTGGCTCACGGGAGTAAACCTGGGTCCGCCAACATTTTAAAGGTTGAGCCAGAGGAAGGTAGAACCGGGCCAAGAGTTCTGAGGACAGCGCACTTGGAAGGAGGCAAGGCCGAAAGATTGCTGAGGCCTAGAGTTTGGAGACCAGACTGGCCAAACAATAGTAAGACCCTGAGTGTCTTAAAAAAACTATTCGTTGGGCCTAAAAGGAGTGGTTTAGTTGGCTGCAACTCTTAGGCTTGTAATCCCATTACATTGAGCAACTTAGCCGAAGGCCTTTTTACGCCAGGCAGAATTGCATGATGTAAGGAGTTCAAGACCAGCCTGGCAATATGGTGAAACCCCCCATCCTTTTAAATAAGGCGAAATAACCTAGCACAGTGGACTGGGCCGAGCTACGCGTCATAATTCGCCTCATCTACCTGGGAGGCTGACACAAGGAGAACACTTTGAAACCCAGGAGGAAGAGGTTGCATGATGCCAAGACCGCCACCACTTGGCACCCCAGCCCATGAACAAGAGTGAAAATTAAATCCTCAAAAAAAAACTGGTTGCCCAGGCACAGTGACCACGCCCCTGTAATACCCAACACTTTGGGAGGCCAAGCTGGTGCTCACCTGAAGGTCAGGAGTTCAAGACCAAGCCTGGGTCCCAACTTGGTGAAAACCCCATCTGTACTAAAAATACAAAAAATTAGCCAGGCATGATCACGCACGCCTGTAATCTCAGCTATTTGGGAGCTGAGGCAGGAGAACACTTGGACCTGGAAGCCAGAGGTTACAGTAAGCTGAGATGCCACCCACTCGACTCCATCCTGGGCAACACCAGCAAGATCTGTCTCAAATAAATAATTAAAATAAATTTTTTTTTTTTTTTTTTTTGAGATGGATCTTTGCTCTGTCACCCAGGGCGGGAGTGCAGTGGCATGATCTCAGCTCACCTGCAGCTCTCCTACCTACAACCCGGGTTCCACGCCATTCTCCGGCTTCAGCCTCCAAGTTAAGTAGCTGGGATCTACAGGCACCCGCCACCATCGCCATGCTAATTTTTGATTTTTCAGGTAAGGACAAGTTTCACCTGTGTTTAGCTCAGGATGGTTCGATCCTCCTGCGCTCATGATCCCATCCAAAG